TGAAATGGAACCAGGTATATATATTAAATCAAAGCAGGAGAAAGACAAATAATTGATTTTCTACAAGCAAGTGTTTTGCGCCCTGCTTGGGAGAAGGTGTCTAGTCTAAGCCCTGTGACAAAGAACTATTGGGCACAGTGGGACCAGTTGAAGCTTGAAGATTGTATTCTTCTCCTGGCAAACGGTTATACTGAGAAAGTTACGGGAAGTTGTGCTGCATCAATCCCATGATACTTTAACAGGAGGACATCTCGGAGTTAAGAAGACATTGAGTCACCTACGACAGAGATTTTACTGGATAGGTATGAGGTAAGATGTGGAAGAATGGTGCAGAACATGCAGTACATGTTGTACTAAAAGGGGACTCAAGCATAAGGGACGTGCTCGAATGAAGTTATATCAAGTTGGTGCACCAATGGAAAGAGTAGCCGTCGACATTGCTGGTCCTCTGCCCCAAACTCGTGCTGGAAACAAGTACATTTGTGTGGTGATGGATTATTTCACCAAGTGGCCTGAGGCATATGCAATACCAAATCAGGAAGCTACAACTGTAACTTCGGCTATTAGAGGTTTCTTCTTCAGATTTGGTATGCCATATGAACTGCATTCAGATCAAGGCCGTAACTTTGAATCAGCTGTGTTCCATGAATACTGCAAGTTTTTTGGCATCCGAAAGACCAGGACAACGCTACTTCACCCACAGTCTGATGGGATGGTAGAAAAGTACAACTGGACATTGGGACAGGAATTGGCAAAGTTTTGTAATAGCCGTCTTACTCCCTCCACTGTTGATGGCCTATAGAACAGCAGAGCATGAAGCCACTGGATACACTCCAGCAAAGTTGATGTGTGGTCGGGAACTTAGGTTGCCAGTGGATCTGTTAATAGGACGTCCACCTTATGAAGAGTTTCCTGAAAATGTGTCAGAGTTTGTGAAAGTGTTATCGGAAAGGATGGATGATATTCATCATCAAGTGCGTTCAAACTTGAAAACGTCTGCTGATTCAATAAAGTTATCTACTGAAGTCAGCTTTGTACCAGGAGACAAGGTGTGGTTGTATACTACCAGGAAGACCAAAGGGAAAACTCCTAAGTTGTCTTCTCCATGCGAAGGCCCATATGACATAGTGGATCGTCTCTCAGACGTGACTGTGGTCGGCGAGGTAAGCCAAAAGTGGTGCATGCCAACAGGCGTTGGCGCTATCGCAGTCCAGGACATTTCAGTTGGGATGAAGTGAACAACGGAACAAATGACACTGCTGAAGACGTGTCACCTGAAAAAGCCACTGTCGAAGAAGAAACTCTACTCAGTTTTGAGAAGGGAAACAG